GTCCCATGAACATTGTGGACACCAATAGACATTGTCTGATACTTTTGATACAAGCCCATCAGGTGTCAGAGAGGGCAAGAAGGAACAGCTGTTGACTGTTGGTACCTGTAGCAGTTAGGTTCCAGGTAATAGTTGCACAATTATCCAAATAGGGAGAAGCCAAGTAACCTGATACCTTTGACATGACACATAGTCCTTGTCCTTATAAGTCACATAGGGTTATTTGGGACAAGGAACAGGCATCAGCAGTGCTTGTGGCAGTTGTGCAAGTGACAGGTTGTAGACCATTCCTAAATAATAAGGGGGTTTTGGGTCAAGTCAGAGCCAACAGTCCTGTGTCAGGTTAGGTGTAGAGTGGTTGAGGAAAGAAAAGGTTGCTGTTAGCTTAGTTGGGAGAGGGACTTCCATTGGAGAAGTGGGTGGAGGGGGCTCTAACAGAGGTTAGAAGAGGTGAGATAGTATGACCCGAGCTGACAGAGGTTTGGGGGAGATGGTAAGATCTTTGTTGGACTTTTCCTAGTGGATAATAGTTACACAGTTCTAAAAGGCACAATGATGTGAATTAACACCCTGGCGAGATTTGCCTCCTTGGACTGGTCATGCATAGATCAGGATACTTTGTAGGTTCTTTTGCAATTGTAAGGGGACTTTGTTCAGTCACTTTCCATCTCTGGTGGCCCGTTTCTCTATCTGAGCGATCCTCAGGTACTTTCTTGAGACGAGAGTGATGGATGCAGGCAGGAATACCAGAGACCTTCACAGTGCTGGGCATCCTTCTTCGGCTTGAGGCATAAGTTTTACAGTGATGTTGGGGTTATATTTATGGAAGTGGAGTGGGGTCTCAGGGACACCTGACAGCTCCAAGATGGTTTGGGGACAAAGGTTCCCAAGAGCTGCCTCTTTTGCTGCTTTACAGTAAAATTGTTTCCCTGGGTCTGAAGGCTACTATCCATCTGATGTCCCAGCCAGTGTATAATAAGCCAGGTCAGGGGGCAATGAGATGGCCTCCAGCAGTTAGGTGATTTCCTGTTTGTTTTTAATGTTTTTTTCTTTCTGAGTTTAGCAGTCCCCTTTGTTTATTTGTCCATGAACATGAGCCATGGAAAATGGTATTGGCTATCTGTGTAAGTGTTTACTTCCTAACTCTTGGCCCTTTCAAAGTTCGAGCTATTGTTTCTGCGTTTTGGGACAATGTGTCTCTGGGTAGGGTTTGTGCCCAAATTATTTCCTTTTAACTTGTAAATATCACTGCTCCTGTGTACCTTATTCATTCACAGATGAAGCTGCTATCAGTGAAGAGGTCAGGGTCTCTGATGGAGAAGGGAGTTTCCGTCAAGTCTGGTCAGGTCTCTTGGATGACATCCAGCATCTTCAGGCATCTCCAGTTATGGATGTGTTCCTCAGGGTAGTTGTCCAGGAACAGGGTGGCGGGATTGATGGTCATGCATTCGTCAAAAGTCAATCTGTCTTTATCCAAGTGAAGGGCCTGGTATTGGGTTAGGTGGGCATTAGACATCCAACAGTTAGTGTCATCTCTTAATAGGGTCTTTGTAGGATGTGGGGCCATTGTGGTTAGAGTCTATTCAGGATAAGTTTGTCTGCCTCTTTCAGCAGGGTTATAGTTGTTTCTATGGCTTGTAAACAAGGAGGCCATGCTGAGGTCATAGGATCTGTCTTTTTGAGATAGATCTATCGGTCCTTTTTAGGGACCCAAGGTTTGGGTCAAGACGCCCTTAGCAAGCCTTTTCTTCCATGTACATAAAGATGGAGGGGCTTTGTGATGTCAGGGAGGGTAAGGCAGAGGTTCTCTACAAGAGCCTCTTTCAAGTTCTTAAAAGGCCTGTTCGTGTTCCTCAGTCCATTTCAAGTGGGTGTTGCCTTTGT